TATAAGCACAATTCCATGAATCACATTCATACGCACCTAAATCAGGATCGTATGTATAACACACAAGAATATAGAATTATACCTTTGAAGTGTGAATTCCACGTAGCTATTTGATCAACAAATCAGGGAGAGAATAGAGCCCCAAGCGTGACTCCTCTACTTGGTCCACGGGATTTGAACAAGCGTCCACCAATACTAGATTGGTTGAGTGAAGGGGAAAACCACGATCACTACCTTTGACGGACAACCGACCACCACGATGAACCACCACCACCTTGCACACGCCGGCGCCGAGAGGGGAGGAGAGAGCCGTGAGAGAGAGAGAGTTTGAGAGGGCTAGGTTTCGTGTTTGCTAATTAGGGTTTCACAAAATAACATTGTCCTCACGGAAAAACCTAGGCACCTAGTCTACTTATAATCCTATTATAAGTAGACTAGGTTAGGAAGCCCATAAACCTCTAACACCTCCATATAGCCGGCCACCTAGGGGATGAGGCTCATCATGGGCCTCGTCCTCTAATGCTCAATCTAGGCCCTTTGTGTGACCTTATAGGATCCGTCCAATTGGATTTCGGCCTATTTTACTAGCCTAAAGATCGTTAGTACCTCTAGCTATGATACAATGACGACCCAAATGGACGAACTTAATTATCTCCATAATTTGATCCATTTATATATTTAGTAATTGCACTTAACGAAGACATAAATCCTTCACCAGCCTCCCACAGAAGTAGCAGAAATCGCCGAACTTCTCATATTTGAAACCAATCCACTTCAAACTCGACGGACTGGTAGCAATACTTATCTCTCTACGCAACAACTTCGTTATATCCATCCACACCTTGACTCTCATAACTTCATCCCAACCCGATGGATCCGACTCATCGAACTCCATATAACCGCCTAACACATCACCAATTTCACGAGCAAAAGAAGCAGTACGCTTCCCAAAAGGCACATCCAATAGTCTAATACAGAAGGGGGCTTTGTCAAAAATTACTTCCGAAGGCTGTTCATTTTCTTCAAAGATATTACATCACATTGTCAATAATTCTCCAAAGACTTTTCAATGGGTTTCAGCAATAGGTTTTGTTGATCAAACCCCCAAGGTTTCCCTTCAAGCACTCTATTTTTATCTTCCTCATTGAAAAATTGGAAAACGAACAGGTTAATATCAATCGATCGAATCATCACATTGTCAATAATTCTCCAAAGACTTTTCAAAACACGTTTCATAGCTTCAATGTTATAGGGTTTTTTGGTCAGCATCTTTCCCACTAAAGATAATTCAAGTTTGAATTTTGACAATTCATCTCCATCCTCTACCCTATTCTCCCCATCATATTCTCTTCATCAGTAAGTTTTAGTTTCTCCCAATCCTTCACTAAATCATCAGCCATCATTCACGAATTTATACAGGCAGAAAAGCGTACCACTTGAAGTTTGTGTTGCGCTATTGAGTATTTCGATTACTGATTGAGAAGTGTTGAAAGGAATATATAAATTCTTCTATTTTTTATTTTTACTACTTTCAAAAATTTTCAATTCACGCTTGCTAATTTATTATTTCAGCCACGGATATATTTATTTATCAACCTGTAAAATTTTTATATATAGATATTGATATTACATCAAACTAAGGAAGGGGAAGACAACACGTCAACACCCTGACACCCATATGAAGAGCCCGGGTTATTATGTACATTAAAATGGGATTTGATTAATAATAACGGAAGATATTCTACAGGTAAGATATGCATAAGTAAAAGATATCATACGATTGAGGAATATATTAGCAAAATAATATCAAAAATATATCTTAATTTTTAATGTATATCTAACCACGTAAAATAATATCTAATATCATATCATATCATATTATATCACTAATAAATAAAGCCGATCTCGCAGTCAGGCCACGAGACAACGACACTTCGCATTCCACTTTTTCGTCAAATGTCGCGCCACGTAGGAGATAAATTGGTATTATTGTGACACATATAATGCTAAGTGAACAATTTTTGGATAGACTTTCTTAAGATAAAATTGTTATATAGAGTTTTATTATCGATAAAATTCTAATATTTCATATATACAAAGTCAATCATAACTTTTAATAAATATCCTATAACTCAATTTTGTTTCCATCATCAAATTCGTTTTAAAAAGTTCTTTAAAATAAGATCCATTTATAATATATTTGATCACAAACTTTTATACGTAGCTGGCCAAATCGTGTCACCAACTATTACAATATTAGAGTTACTTCTTTAGTGCTATAGGGGTTACTTGGTAAGCGTTATAGTGGTTACCCAATCATGTTATAGATAGGGGTTACTTAGTCAGTGTTAGTGGTTACTCAGTTAGTATTACAGGGGTTACTCGATCAATTTTATAGGGGTTACTTTGTCCAGCCAGATGGTGTGGTTAGCCGCATACAAAACACATTGTTATTTAATTTATTTAAAAGATATTAGAGAATCAGTTAAATAAGGTTTTATTAGTAAAATAATTTTGATTTGATAAAAATACTTTCAGTTCAGTAAAAATAATTTAAATTAAATAAGAATAATTTCAAGTCCATAATAACATAGATATGATACGTATGTCTAAATATCCTGTATTATCAAAAGAGATTACAGATCGTATTATTGAACATTCAATCCAAAAAGTTTATCCTAAAATTTTATCAACAATCCGGGCATCAACATAGATATCTACTTACAAACAAAAGTACAAAAATTACACTATTATATGATATTGTAAGTCTAAATATCCAACATTATCAAATGGGATTAGATGACCATATTTCACATTCAAGTAAAATTACAAAAAGTACACTATTATATAAATAAGCGATATGATATCGTATGTCTAAATATTTTACATTATCAAAAGGGGTTATATGATCGTATTTATCATTCAAGCTAAAAAGTTTAGGACAATCCGGGCATCGCCTAGGCACAAAACTAGTCACTAATAAATAAAGTCGGTCTCGCAGCTAGGTCACGAGACAACGACACTTATTATATAAATAATTTCAAGTCTATAAAAACATAGATATCGATTTACAAACAAAACTACAAAAAGTACAATTATTATATAAATAAGCGATATGATATTGTATGTCTAAATATCTAGCATTATTAAAAGGGATTATATGACTGTATTAAACATTCAAACCAAAACATTTATCAACAATCTGAGCATCGCCTAGGCACAAAACTAGTATATATATATAAAGGGAGTTTTTTCCCGAGTTTTTAGAGAGCCACGTAGGATTTAATTTTCTTAACGCGTCATGTAAGATTATAAATTTTAATTATAGCCAATTAAATAAGAGATTTTTAAATTCATTTAGAATTAAATAATTAAATGACACATAAGCCAAATTGGCGAATGAGATTTTAAAGTTTAAATTAATTAAATATACAATATTATCTTTTGAGATTAGGAATTTTATCTTAATGTGTAACAAATGAGAGGAAATTTACAACTTATTTTAAAATAAATTTATTAAATAATATACTACGTACAGAAATAAAAAAAAACAAAAATTTTCTTAAAAAAAAAATTATTTTAAAAAATACAAACAAACCGTGCAATGCACGGACTTCATCTAGAAAACTTATATTATGGAACACTAAGCGTTTAAGACCTTAATGATTTGATTGAAAATCATGTTTTATATAGATACTTCGTAATTACTGTATTTTTTTTATACGACCCCTATTCAATTTATAGTTTTTTTTTTTTTATTTCATGATAATTCTGATGCAATCTTGATTAATTCTTTTAGGAGGGAATTGAAATTTATGAAGGAAAAAACTGATTTAGTAAATGACAAAAGCTAACGAACGCCTTGGCGGTGTTAAATAAGATAACTAAAAGTAGAAATATTAAAATAAAATAAACATTAATTACACCAATCGACACATAATTTTGACATGCATTCCTAAATTAATACGATCAGTACCACTTTAGGTAATAATTTAAATACTTATCTAATGCCCCAAGAATGTTTGTTAGCAAGATTTTTATAGTAAATTAAATTTTTATTTTGTAAATTAGATTGTTACAAATGTTTATTTGATATTAACGATAATATTAATAAAAAAAAAAATTCAGTCAATATACTTATTTATTAAAAGTTGTGCAACACCTGTTTCAAAAAAAAAAAAAAGTTGTGCAACACCTACAACAGGAATATGATTCTAACTATTGTTAGGGTCTTAGGGATGTTAACAACTTAACAAGGTGAATATTAGAATGTTTAAAATTCATACTTGTATATCAAATTAAAATTGACCAAAATTTTGTACGAGTTACTCGTAAATATTTATAATCCATTAAATAAATTTAGGAACATAGGCAATGTATATAGGTCAACTAATTACAATAAATCAGCTCTTTAAACTTGAATAATTAGCAAATAGCAATACCTTTGTATTTGACTTAAAAGTTGAAAAAAAGGGATGACCTAGTTAGTGTGTAGTTGGGGGGGGGGGAGGGAGTTCATATGCCCTGTGACTTTGAGGTCACAATCCTCCATGAACTACATTTGTTTGAGATAGACCTGATCAATGGGCGGGTCGAGACATAAAAAATATGCCCATTTCGCGGGTTGGGTCAGGATAGCCCTGGCCTAGTTTCGGGCCAAAAATTCCATGCCCAAACCCGTCCAAAATAGCCGGGCCAAAAAGTGAGCTAAAATAGCATAAAAATGCAATCCCAAGCCCGCCCAAAAAAATTTAAAAAATTCGGGATGGGATGGGCCGGGCCCGAAAAAGCTGGCCAAAACCCGCCCAAATTCGGGTCGGGCTAGCTTTGATCAGCTCTAGTTTGAGAGTAGTAGGCTTCCCTATTTCCCTTACCTTCCGTCTCTATTTTCAAAGCATCAACCTACATATCTAAGCTAACTAGTATCTGTGATAAGTGTTGCTTCAATAGGGTCCTCTATCTTACTAAGCAAGAAAAAGTACTACTCATAACTTCATAACTCTAGTATTTTGACATTACTTACTGGAATAATCATAACAACATAACTTTAATCTATAATGTATCTCAATAACAATATCTCTACTTTAACTTATATTTTTTGTGCGACAAAAACAATTAAAGTAGGTACAACCAACATTTTATGATGAAGGTGGTATAATTTTGGCATTGATGATTATTAGATCTTAAAATCATAAGTTTCGAGTATAGCATCTCTATCCCCATCATGGCCAGTGTGGATGTCAAAATAGTCCTTGTATCGAAATGCTTTATAAAGTGGACCACAATCTTCTGCTTCAGAAAGAGCTTTAGCTGGCTTAACAATGCACTCCATCGATGGACTGACGAAGAACACTGCAGTTGTTCGCGCGTTGTTTGAGTTTGTCACGACTCGATGCACCACCCCTTTCATCTTCCCATTGCTAACAACCTGCCTCAAGGTGCACGTCATTTAATAATAATCACGTATGCTATTTACTTATAAATTACATATTTACTTATAAATTACAAATTTACAAGGTGCTTGGTACGAGGAATAGGGTACTAGTAGAAGTGTAGAACAATTTAATAATTTTATCATTAGGAACTATATTTATTACCTCAAGTTGATTGCCCACAAAGACTAGAAATGCATTAGGAGCCGTCTCAAAACCAAACCATTGCTCATCCTTAAAGAGTTGGAGCCCCGGAATATCGGCAGGTGCTTGAACTATATTTATAAGGGTCGGATCTTTGTGCTTGGGTAGCCCTATGGTCAAGCTTGGATCAGGGCATATCGGATAGTGATTTATAGTTAAGATGTTGTCTTCTGTTAGTTCATTTGCAAAAAAATCTTTTTCTAACCCAAGTCCTTCAGATATATTCTCTAAAATCTTCATTCCCATGCCCTTCAAGGCAACAACATATGCCCCAACTATCTCCCTGAAAATTTAAGCATGAGAGTAAAATACGAGTATACGACTCGTTAAAGTTGTTTAAGTTGTACGTATTTAGATCAAAAAAGGACTATGTACTCTGTATTCAATTGGTAGACTTTAGTATTGAGGTTTATGTACTTATACTTTTAAAAGAAGCCAACACGTCTATTTTAATTAAACGAATGTAGACAAGCCGACGTGCCCATATATGTCACATCTCGGTTCATATTTAAATATGTGTTAAAATTAATCTTTAGTAGTGATCTGATTGATTACCTATAATTTTTGGGATTTTGAGGCCAAAATTTGATGCATTCCTCCAAAGGGTTGCAATTGTGCCTCAAAACATCCCTCCAAAAGTGAAATTCCTCGGTATCATAGTTGTAGCTGCTCGAATAAATTCTGCAAATATTTTTTAAATCCTCTTTCATGTTTATTTTCGATCTTTCCTCTGGAGGTAAATTAAATACTTCCTTGAACACGTTCATTGCATTATTCATTAACTCGCTAGAAATTCCATGGTTTATCACCTATTTTGAGAGAAGGAAAATAAAGAAATTAAAAAATTATCCTTAGGATCAAATTATTAATAATAACATGTAGCTATACAATTGTCACATAATTAATATCGTGATGTATGCACCTGAAATAATCCCAAATCTTGGCTTGCTTTCATAATGTGCTGGATTGAATTCTTTTCATCATTTAGATCAATTATTGGAATTTCTATTTTGCCTGCATGACCTGAAAATAATATATATAGAAGGATTCTCAACTATAAGTTTCTGCATGCTTGTCTTAATAATGCTAAGTTTAGTTCACCTAATTAACTTATTACTTACCTCAAATTTCATATCAAAGCAGATAAAAAAGTTCAGATTAGATCAAAATAGAAAGAAAAAAAAAAGTTATTTATCGTTTAATATCTTAAGCTCTGTAATGTAAAAATTCTATATAAACTACATATATGTAAAACATACATTTATACAATATAAAGCAAATTTGTGTAACCAATGGATGGTCATACATTATAGAGATAATAAAAAGAGAGTATGTATTATGAGTGATTAATTGAGTATATCATAGGTATTTTCCTTGATTGAATTTTAGTTGATTGAATTAATTATTTTGGTTGATTAACCTTCATTTTTTTTTCTATTTTATTTATATGGTTAATCAAACATTTTATTTATTTTTTTTCTCAAAAATGTAATGAAGTATAATTGGAAATTTTCATTAAGTAGTTGATTTTTATTCAAATCGTGAAGGAGGGACATAAAAGAAATTAATATTTGGACAATAAATTCTTAAATTGTAGGTAAATAATTTGTCACCTTGATTAATGATTGTATGTGAAGTTGAAATTTGATTGATTGCAATGTTTTTTTTTCCTCCTTAATTCTTAATAATTTTTTTATATAATTTAAAAAAACAATTTTAATATTAAGTTATGAGGAGTATTTATGTCTTTTTAGGTGGACACCAAGTCCCCCCACACTCATATAATAGAGATATAATACAATGTTGATTAAAAAATAAAAAAAGTCAATATTATGAATTTTTATATTAATACCTATAAAACAACATGTTTCATGATAAACTTGATTTTAATATATACATTAGTAAAAAAATAAAAATTATGATCAAAATTAGTGCTTCGTATATGAATAGTAAAAATAAATCAAACGTGACAATTAAACTGGGTCATAGGTAGCCTGTTTTGTTCGTCTTATTTTCACTTATTTTGGGTTTAATAAGTTCAAATAAGTTTAGTTTAGGAAAAATAAGTTTTGATAGGGGTTACCAAGTTCAATTATAATAAGTTTTAATAAATTCTAATAAAATCAGATAAGCTAAGCTAAGTTAAGATAAGTAGGTGAATAGAATACACTTGTAGTAACTTATTTAGGCCCTGTTTACTCCACCTTATTTTTGCTGAATTAAATATTCTTTATTTTTTTTATATATTTTTTTTTTATTGAAGTGAAATTATTTTTAATGAAATAATTTTGTTTTTTTTTTTTTTTACTGATTCTCTGTTATATTTTTTCATTAAAGTTATTGATTTTTACTAAACCGAAATTAACTTTGCTGAAATAAAATAGTTTTATTGAACTCAAATTATTTTTACTGCTGAAGTTAACCGATATTATACTAAGTAATTCCGAGTAACTTGATTGTATGAACTTTAATTAATTTGAATCTATCTAAAATTATTTATATATGCATTTATCCGACTTATTTGATAAAAAATAATTCACAACAAAGTTAAAAATTACACATCTATGATCTATCTTGTATCACTCTTTTTAGTTAAAGGACGGCTATATACGAGTTTCTCGTTTTCTTATGAGAGTAATCTCTAATTGGCTTGTCTATCAATTTGAAATGAGAGAGAGCATAATTCTAAATAAATAAATACAAGAAAAGAACATCCATGAGTATTGTTTATTTTTCATTTAATCTTAAAATGAAAAGCAAAAACTAACTTTGAGTTAATTGGCTACACAGAACACCCACACAGCCGCATGGGTATATATAAAAAATTTCAGTCAATACATATGGTACTAACACTACAACCTCACTCATTTAATTTTTATTTGCTAACTACTAGCAAACAAGCACATCTTTAGTTTTTTTTACAACAAGAAGCACATCAAATTTTATTTTACTTTGAGGTACATTAATTAAAAGAAAAGTTGAAAAGAAGATCTCGGGCCAAGTTTGGTGAAAGCCAACTGAAGAAGCAGCACAACATGAAACATATATAAATTATGAAGTTTATACTAACCCGTTCTTTTTTCAGGCGGAAGCACATACTTTTGAGGAATTTCTCTATTTGCAATAATAACGCCAGTTGAGAGGAGGTTCGCCATAATTAGTATAGCTGCAATTTATGATGAGAAAATGAATTAGCCATTTTGCCCCCCTCTTTATAGTACTGTACAACTTTAGGTGCAACTTTTTTGCTAAGAAATAATTGTTTTTATAGAAATTTCAAAATATTTGTAAATTAAAGATATTGTACAATCTTGAATGATTATTGCCATATAAAAGTATGTATTTAATTTGAGTGTTATCTTGATTGATTATATCCATAAGACCATAAAGGAATATCTTGATTTTAACCAAAAAATAAAAAATAAAAAATTAAAGGAATATCTTGATTGATTTAGTTTTAACATACTATTCTGGGCTTAGGGCCCAAACAATGCCACGTGCTATTAAAGTTTCTAGAATTTGATTTTTTACGTTTAATTCAAGATTCAATGCATTTATGCCCGTTTATTTCACCTTATTTTTGCTGAACTGAAATTATTTTTTGATGAACTTAAATTAATTTCAATGAACTGAATATTTGTATTGATTTTTTATTATATTTCTTATTAATAGTTACTGAATTTTACTAAACTGAACTTATTTTACTGAACTAAAGTTATTTTTATCTAATATTATTTTTAAGGTGAAGTGAACAAGCCTTATAAATAAGCTTAGGTGTTACATGACATTTTCCTTATTTTATGAATTATTCACGTCTTGTGTTTAAAATATGTATAAGATTAAAAATTAAAGTGTTAGCCCCTAAACTATTAGCATATTACATGTAATTCTTATAAAATTATGAAAGCTATTCACACATTTTATGCATTGACATTGTCAATTATTACTGATCGAGTAACCCCAGTAATACTGACCTAGTAACCGATATAACACTAACGAAATAAACCTCATGATGACTGGCCACAATATGATTAGCCACATATACGAATTTGTGATATTAAAATACATGAACTCAAATTATATTAAGTTTTATGGCAAGTTGAAATTTAACATGTAAGGTGGGAAAACTCAAGTTTGCAATGCAAGTGTAAAAATTTGAGAATGAGCAACCCAAGTTCGGCCTATACTTACTCAATCAGTCAAGTAGTAGCACCCCATTTTGCATCCATGAGTTGGCCAATTCACTAATTTAAAGTTTAATTAATTTTTTATAATTATATTTATGAATTATGAGTAAAACTTAATTTGCTCTAATTGTCCTTTATTGGCTGTATATGAACCGCTTAGTCAAACAAATCTACGCATTATCCACTCAAATTACCATACCCTAAATGGTATACTCTTATATTTAGTAAATTTTTATTTTATTTTTTTAAAAAAAAATCCTGTTATAAAGTCATCCTCGCCTCTTTATTTATTAGGATTTAAATTTGAATGAAAATAGATTAAGAAATATTTTTTTTTTTAAAAGTAACATAAAAATTATCAGCGTGTTTTGTGTACAGTTGGCCACATCATGTAACCACTTGTAAAAGAACACAGTAACCTATATAACACTGACCGAGTAACCTTTGCATGTAATACTGGTCAAATAGCCTCTAAAATACTGACCAAATAACTCTTATAACACTAATGAAGTAATTCCTATAACACTAACAAATAGAGTAACCTTTATAAAAGTAATCCCTATAATAACACAACGAAGTAGCTTATAAGAATTTGTGAAAAATTACAAATTGTAAACTGATGAAGTTAGGCAGAGAAAATATACAAAAAGATTGTCGTATACTGAAAAAATAATTTATTATTTAAAATGGCCTAACTTGACAATAATATTAAGAAAAAAAAATTCATTAAAATGGCATCAGATTGCAAATGATTGTAGAAATATAAATGATTCTTATTTATTTAATGTTATTTTAAAATCATATCTTTCTGATTTCATTTAAATTCTATATAATTGTTTTGTTGTAAAGTTTTAAACTAGCATGAAGTCTTACTTAGTTACTTGCACTTGCACACAATGCATGCGTAAATAAAATACAGTCAAGTACACCATTTGACAAAATTTATAGTCTAAAATATTGGATTTTTTTTTTTTTTGACAAGTAAAATATTGAAAAATATCATATTTTCCCTATTTTTATCTTGTAATTATCCATGGCATTTTCAGAAGATAAGATCGAAATTAATCTCTATTCTATAATTAGCCATTATAAATCCTTATAATTGATTTATAGTAAGCATTGCGTGCTTGTTTTGTCTTCCCTATTTTAGAGTATTCTCTTAAGATAAAACTTATGCATGGTTCAAAAAGTGAATAATTTTCATAATTGCATATATATTCTCTATTTAGAAAGCAATCTACCTTCTTCTTAATCATTAAATAAAAATATTCACTTAATTTATTTATTTAAATCATCAAATATTCATTTAATTTTGAATGGAAAGGATATACAGAAAATTCTCATATATGAAGTAACACACAAATCGCGTGCAACTTTTAAAAAAAAAAATGTGCAATAAATATTGTACATTCGTTGTAGACTTCCCCTAAAATGATTAAAAGTTATCTCCAATATGAATAAAAGTTATCTGGTATAAATAAAAGTTGTTTATGCTTTATTGATAAAGTTATTTTCTTTAGATGATTAAATATCAAATCTTAGTGAGTGACAATGAAAGTAATTATATTTCATTGTTACAATTTGAATTTATCTAATTGCCTATTTACAAATTTACCTCGAACAAGCAAGCTAAAAGTTACGCTAAACTGTTCAATGTACATATAAATTATTGTAAACCGGGTATACACAAAAGTTTTTGTAATTTTATAATTAACCTTTTCATGCATCTATATATACTCTACTCCATAGATTCGATTCTTCACAAATATAATATTTGCACCTCTCTCCTTTTCTTTAGTGAGGTAAAGTGCAAATTATAATGGAGAAAAGGATGGTTTCAAACTTGTCTAATTTGCCTAAAAGTTACATAATACCTCCAGAAAAAAGACCTGGAAATAATTTTTATCCTATATGCAATATTCCAGTTATCGATCTATCCAAAGCAAAAGGTGTTGATCGACCAAAAATTATCAATCAAATTATGCAGGCTTCTACAAAGTTTGGTTTCTTCCAGGTTAAATTATTTTCCCTTTTATCTAATATTTCATTATTCCATAACAATTTTGAGAAAATACATTCATTTGTTTGTACATTTGTTATTAATTTTTTTTTTTTTGAAAGAACATTTGTTAAACTTTGATTAATAGTTATGTATTTGAGAGTATATAATTAATATATATCCTGTCCAAGATATTATTTATCAAGCATTATTGATTAGTAGTAGGGTTTGGTCTTGGCTCAAGTTTGTCACAATGCAAGCAAAAAAAAAAAAAAAAAAAAAAAGGAGGAAACATTATTGACAATAAATATTTTTGGTCCGGATGAGTCATAAGGACGTACAAAATTAACTTATAAACTTAATTGTGAACTAGGTGATCAACCATGGAGTTGCAATAGAAGTAATGGAAGACGCGATGAAAGTGTTTAAGGAGTTCTTCGAGTTGCCTTTCGAGAAGAAATCTCACTTATATAATACTCATGATGAGAATGTGAAGTGCAAACTTTATACAAGCAGTTCTAATTATGAAAATGAAGAAATTCACTATTGGAGGGACTGCTTGATACATGATTGTACTCCTTTGAAAGAAAGCTTTGATCTTTGGCCCCAAAACCCTCCTAGATACAGGTAATTTCACTTAGGGCATTTTAAAGTCGTGGTGAATAAAGGTACTTTCTACTATCAAATACATGGGTGCTTAATATTATTATTATTTTATACGAATAACAATTATGTATATTATTTATAGATAATTATTTTGTATATGGTATATATGGACATATATAATATAAAATTGTAGATGAATAAAAATTACTTGCACAAAAAGGTATTCAATTAAGCTAAGCTTAGTGACAATATAATCTAGGACCACTACATCTGTTTACTCAGTTTTTAATTTAATTTTTACCAAACTGAAACTAATTTTATGGAGTGAAATCTATTTTTCATGCAGGGAGGTGGTAGGGGAGTATTTGAGTCAAGTGGGAAAGCTAGGATCAAGAATTCTAGACCTAATAAGTGAAGGATTAGGGCTTGAATCTGATTTTTTCGCGCATGGTTATAAGGAGGACTTCTTCTTTACCGTGAACCATTATCCACCATGCCCTGATCCAAGTTTGACATTAGGGTTACCAAAGCATTGTGATCCAAATGTAATAACTTTGCTTCTTCAAGATATTGTTCCTGGCCTTCAAGTTTGTGTTGACAACGAATGGCAACTCGTTCAGCCTTGTCCAAATGCTTTTGTGGTTAACATGGGCCACCAAATGCAGGTATCTTTTAATTTAATTGGCGAATTCACAATATGTTGTACTGTGACTTCTTTTGATTTTGAATAACTTTATTCACGACCTAATAAATATCAATTTTGTTACGTCTAAATATTGGTTTTTTTTTTTTTTTTTTTTTTTTTTTTTTTTTTTTTTTTTTTACAAGCACGTCTAAATATTGTTAACTTGTACTTTGTAGCATTTTTGATTAACTCGTCTAACCATATATGCAAATATATTAATTAATCTCATTCTCGATCTACTTAATTACTTGTTTAAATTGGTCTTTTACATTCTTCATACATATCTTAATATGTATAGTCGTATAGATGTACATGTACGACTTTGTACCCTTTATCCCCCTTTTTTTTCCCTTAATAAACCAGTTTTCTATTTCAAAAATTATCCTAACATGATATAGATCACTATAAATTTCAAGTTTCTATATCTATATTTCCTTGAATATATATATATATATATATATTTTCTTTTTTTTTTTGGACGGATAACATAGTGCATTCATACTTTATTAATTATTACTCTGCGAAATTGTGAAAATATAAGAATTTGTTTGGCATCGTTTTTGGTTTTTCTAGTTTTCTGTTTTTTTGAAAATAAAAAACCAACAACAGGAAACAAGAAAAAGGTATTTCCACTTTTCTGTTATCAGTTTTCAAAATTATCATAATTTAATAAGTTTGATTAATTTTTGATTCATTATAGAATATATATATCATATGATTTTGAAAAACAAAAAACCAAAAAACAGAAAACCACAGCGATGCCAAAAGAACCCTAAATTGTGATGTTTTATATGCAGGTTATAAGTAATGGGAAGCTAAAAGGAGCAGAACATAGAGTTGTGACAAATGCAGAAAAGTCTAGGACAACTGCATCATACTTCGTTGTGCCATCAAAGGATTGCATCCTTGAACCAGCAAAAGCTCTTACTAAAAAGGATCTACCACTCTATAAGCAATTTCGATACGCTGAATTTATGGAGACTTACAAAGCCCTTAATACTCAAGAACCTGAAAATCTTTTAGAGCCTTACAAGATTAAAAAAGAGGTGATTTAGATCGAATTATCGAGGATTAATAAGGAAGCTAAGTAAACAATATTAAAGTTTAGATTAATGAATAGTTATTGAGTTATAGACTCATTATATTGGAAGCAAAACATTCTCCTCGGAAACACTAGCTACTATGTATATATAATGGTATAGTACGTGCTTGTTTGGTTGAACTTGAGAAGTTATATACGAAGAACTACATATGGTTTTTTTTTTTTTTTTTAAAATTTTTTTTGTTGCAATTTAAAATGTTTTGTGTCTTTTTTGGTTGTAATAAACTTTGATATGGTTGTAAACTTGTAACATGCAAAATGGGTATCTTTATTAGTTGTAATTGGTAAATTTTCCTTTACTTATCTAGGTTAACTTTTAACATTTTGGGGTAAATGAAAAATCATAGCCACTGCAACTTACCCTCTTTTTTTTTTTTTTTTTTTTTTTTTTGGGAGAAGAAACTAATAACCTCAATTCTTTACTAATTAGAAATTTTCGCTTCCTGTTTTTTTGATTGATCTTCACAGAGATTCATATATAAAAGTGATGCCAAATTTCTTGACTTATTAGAAATAATAGTATTTTTTTTTTTTGGACATAAGGGTTTTTTTTTTTTTTTTGAAGGGAAAGATAAAATATCATTAATTGAAAGCCATACGACATCTACAATAAGCATTATAGAAAAATAAAATACAGTCTAAATTAATCAAGTAAAAATCCTCTTTAAAGAAACTATGATGATGAGAAACTAGATCTGACGATGAAGTACAGTTCCCGATTGTTCGCTGAATTATGCAGCCTTCTGTGAGGGAGTCCATTTTCTTGACATAGTTTTGGGAGGAAAATTCATTACCTGACCATGTCGATCGCATCCTCAATTCCAACGCCAATTGCAAAATTGTACGAATAACAACCCATGAATCCAATCTTTCAAATAACACCCTAAAAATAAATTCCAATCTTCCATAAGGGAAGAGAAGAAATACAAGCACCAAACTCTCACAAAAGGAGAGAACAAACCCAAAAATTGGAAGAAAACTCTCATAAAGAGAGAGTAAGGAGAATTATTAATGGCTAAAAACAAAAAAACAAAGGAAATAAAGAAAGAAATGGGGCTTACCATCATCAAAGAGATGACGATGGTAGCCCCTTGCGGTTGCCAAAGATTTTAGGGTTTTTTTAGGGTTTTTTTTGGAGAGGGAAAGAGATAAGGGTTTTTTTTTTTTTGTTAAAGTAAACAATTCCATTAAAGTTTGGATATTGTGAAATTATTTGTTGACAATTGTATTGATTTAAGGAATGAAATAAAATAATTTTGTACTGTATCATAAACAATAGAAAAACTTTTTATAGTAAATTTTTTTATTCACATTAAGGCGCTAGTCAACCATATATAATGTGACATTTGCTGATATTTTGCCGTAAATACTGCCGTGTGATATGGGAGAAAAATATTTGTAAATGATAAAGGAAATAAATAAATAAAAAAAAAACAAACAAACAAACAATAAGATTTGCTTATAAATCACTAGAACAACTCAGGAAGTCAGGAGTCAGGACATTTAGTAGAGCACATGCTTCTGAATATTGTGCGTTAATTATATACGTAGTAGTAATGTAGTATTATATAACCAACTAAACTTTGATTTACAGATATAGTCCGTCAAGAAAAAAAATACAAGATACCTATTGATCAAGATCACTATGATGTGTGAATCTTTTTATTTTACGGAAAAATATTTGTAAATAATCTATCACTCTTTTCATCAAGTGAATTTTCGCTATCATAATTTTAGGTGACCTAGCTATAATTATGCAAGGATACAATGCTTTACATTAAATTAAATGCGGTCAACCTTGATTAAAAAATAAAAACTCCAATGAATTTCCAAAATTTCCGCAGGTGCTTTAGAACACCCTTAAACACAACTCCTAATGTTCAGATTGGATCACATTTTCCCGTCAAAAATATAAAATCGATCACATTTCACCAGTACTAGCTAGACTAATGTTCAATACTTGTACATATTTTGTATCTATCATCGCTACATGTATACAAAATAAATGGAATAAAGTAAAAATAAAAAACGATTGAATGAATAGAATCTAAACAAGAAGCTAAGTACAAGATTGAAAAAATTCATGGATCATAATCGATCACATTCAATCGGAAGAATTGAAGAACTTCTAGATCCTCGACCATGTCCAAATGAGAAGAAAGACGACCTCCTAACCCTTCCATTGTTACCAGCATTATTGTTACACTCTTCATAATGTGTACTACTAACCTCATTATTGTAAATATTGTTATAATTAGCATATAATTGCCTATGATTCTGCCTTACAATCTCTTGAACTTGCAAGATTAACCCGCGATCTGCAACTGAATCCATAGAAAACGACCTCCTAATCGGTTGTTGCACCTCGAATTGCTCATCTTTATGCCTTGAAGTAATGCATTCATCTCCCATGATAGACAAGTTGTGCAACTTCCTAGCTAACTTGTTGTTATTGTGTTCTGTTTTCCTCTGTGTTTGTGTAGCAACTCCTTCAATATCTTGATCATCTCCAACTTCGATGACTAAAAAGTCTTGATCATCTCCATTGAAATTAACCATGCTTAAGTTGCCACTAAACAAAGGCGAAAGAACTTCCTGAGGCGACGAGCTTGGTGCAATGATGTGATCGAGAGGATACTTCGTTCTTCCTGAAATGCTTGACCTACATAGAGGGCAACTTGCATTGTTCAAGAGCCAAACATCTATGCAATCCAAGTGAAAAGTGTGGTTACACCTAGGAAGAACTCTTAGCATTTCTTTCTCTTCGAATTCATTTAAACAAACCGCGCAACCTCTAAAGCTCTTGCTATTTCCAAGGGCTAAACCGCGGTCATTGGCAGTATGTGACTTGTATTGGATTGCGGGGATGTTGTTGATGAGGAACTCATCTAGTCCCCGATGATGGAACCCATCCATCATCGGGGAGAAGGAAATGATGGAGCCATCATCGTTTCGTGGGGTTCCTGATATTGAGAACCTTCTTAAGGGATCAAGGTTTTGCCAATTCAAGCAACATTTGATCACAAAGATGTAGTAGCTTATTAGTAGAATGGCAACTGCCATAATGGCTAATAATGCAACTGCTATTGGGAAGTCTGAATTTGAAGAAGTGTGGTTTATAGGTGGTGGTTGGTGTTGTTGTTGCCATTGAGAGGTAATTGTGTTGTTTTCTTGTTGGGTTTTTAGATGTTTGGTCAATGAATTCATAACTTTGAGATTGGAATTGGGGAAAAATAAAGAAAGTTTGGGGTTTTAAGAAGTTAGTGTTTTGAATGAGATCTCTTTGTTGAGAATCTTGAGATCTCCAATAAGGGAAACACAAACATCAAAAAAATTAAATTAAATTTAGTATGTGTTGTAATTTGTTGTTTTTTTAGAGATATGGGGTGAGGTGGGTCCTAAATGTGAAACATTTACTAAGAAAATTAAGAACCTTATTTTTGTGTTTTAATAATGTATAACGATTGTTTTATGTTGAATGGTACAAAGTCAATGATACATGGGAAGACTTTATTAAATAAAAAAGAGAAAATATTGGCCTAATTAAAAAAAAAACAAAAAAAAAAAACATTACATGTTAATTATTTTTTTAATTACATTTTACTACTCCTATTTCAATTTATTTACATTCTTGAGGTATGAATTATGGAAAAATGCTAAAAATGAATATATATATATATATATATATATATATATATATATATATATATATATATATATATATATATATATATATATATATATATATATATATATATATATATATATATATATATATATATATATATATATATATATATATATATATATGAAAATGTAACATTAATACACTGATTTGCCCATGATTTTGTTGTGCATTCTTAATTAATACCAAATTGAGAAATATATTAAATGTTTATTCTTAACCCTTAGAGAGTTAGAGCTACATATAACATCATCCTTATTTATAAGATATTGATAAAGTATAAAACATATTCTTGGATTTCAACCATAAAGTTAAGCTTTTCAAATGGAATATGACATGATATTAGAGACAGCGTGACACAAAGATCATGGTTCAAATCTCATCCATCCCCACTTTCAAATGGAATATTTCACACATGATATGTGAGGGCCCATGCTGCATCCACATTTTAAGTGCAAAGAGATCTTATGTAAGTGAGCGTATAAAACATATTACTGCGTCTCAACTATCAATTTAAACTTTTGAAAGCACTACATTTTACATATAGTGACTCGAACCATCAACCGAGTCAATAATCAGTGTAACATAGACAGATACTAGTAGTTGAGAAAAGTGGTATTATACTTTGTTAATGGGATTGTGGGAAAGTGAGTAGTTGTGCATTTTAGGGAGTAATAATATTTAAGTAAGATAGAATTTTAAGGTCGGTGTTTAGGGGTGATGGTTAATCTTAAAAGTGGGGATATGAATTGGTCCCCACCGTGTGTGTGGTAGCCTTGTGGGAGTACAATGTGGAGAGTTGACCATTTTTCTAGAAAATTGGAGTATGGTAGATGGTCCATCTACGTTCTCCATGCCACTTTGTTTATTCAATTAATGTAAATAATACTATGCTTCGTATTTATTTTAATTTTTGTTTACATGATTGTGAAGGTTATAAGATTCCACTTGATTTGAAATCAAGTAAACACTTCTATGGTTTATTACCAATCTACGTAAACACTAATTAGAATAGCCAATTAATGAAAGAAGTTTAATTGATCAAGTAAACACCCAATTTACAAAATAGAAATTCAACTAGCTAGGTAATTCCCAATCCTAGTCGAACCATGCTAATTGATTTTATTCCGTAGGTCATAGCACCATTTTGAGTAAATTAATTTGCATTATTTATTTTTTACATAATAATACATTGCAGTAAATAAAAACAAAGTCAATGTAATCAACGGTCAAGATTAGATATTTAGGAGACTTGTAGGAAAGTCTCTCCATCAAACATTTGACTCTAAAAGTAAAATAGTTTTTAGATTCACTCATTTCGTAATTGTTTAACATAATCACATTGTATTGCGAAGATCACCCTAATCAATTGTGGAGTATCGATTTTAAAAATCTACTTTAATTGACTTTTTTAACCATAATCACCCTAAATAAATGATTCTTAAATTTGAATAAAAAAAAAGAAAGGATATAATGCATCATATCAGCAAATAGCAACAATATCAAGAGTCTATTTTGAATTTAATTTATGCATGAACTCATGCAATAAATTAGGGAATGGTGCTCCTTCTTGCTAACTATTTGTGGATCATATATAACTATTTGATTTATATTCTATATTTAATTAGTTTTCTCTCTATCTTAAAATATAATGCATATTACTATATTTTGGACCACATTAGTTAAGACGTTACTTGTTAACATCCCTTTCTTCCAAGTTGCATCATCATCAACAGCCGATTAATTAAGCACTGAAAGAGAAATTTTAAAATAATGTTTCTTTCTTATTAAAGTCAAAATCCTCCCCACCTTTGCATATAATGTACTTCACGTCATCTTAATAAAACAGTACGAATATTATAATATATGTTAACTGCACGCATATACTACACCTAATTGCACACGATGCGTGCTTTATATTTCGAAAAACATGTACAACAATTCATATTACGTTTTAAGAGAGTACATATTAAAGCAAGCTAAGGGCATTTTAGCTCAGATCATTAGAACTTTAGGTAATAGACACCAAATTAAATACCTCTAGAGTTGGCTAATATAATAATAGAGATCAAATGAAAAATAAAAAGGGATAAACATGCTACTTCTAGATAGAATAGGATGTATATACAATAATGTAACCGAAACAAATATCAAATATTATTATTCAATATTCTAGTTGACATTTTTGTATATTATATGATCAATAAGAAATTAAGCCGTGACAAATTAAACATCAAAAAAATAGCATGAGTTAGCCAGTTAAGTTATCTTCAATATTATTGAGATGACATTACATTAATTAATTAATTCAAATCCTTTTATAATTAGCCAAAAAAAAAAAGAATATTTTTATAAGTTGACCTTTTCATACATTGTATGTTCTTCTTAGCTTCATATATAAATGCACTAAGATAATAAACTTCAAACTGAATTAAAGTTATAGCAACATTTTTCTAGTTAGTGAGTTTAAGGGGTTTAATGGAGAAAAAGATAGTTTCAAGCTGGTTTAATGGGAAATCGTTGCCGAAAAATTATATAATTCCTCCAGAAAAAAGACCAGGTGAAATTTCTTATCCTGCATGTGAAATTCCAGTGATTGATCTCTTCAAAGCTAATGGAAATGATCGAGAAGTTGTTATCGACCAAATTATCAAGGCTTGCAAAAATTTTGGTTTTTTCCAGGTTCTTATTCGTATTCCTTTTTTTATGCTATTATTATTACTAACCGTATAATAAATTTTCAAAATGATTGATTTTAAAACTTGCTAGTTGGAGTTTTACCTCGTAACCGATTAGGGTGTTACATATTCGTAGTACAAACGAACACTACAAATATATTATAGGAGATAATTCTTATAGTTTTAGTTATTGCCACATCAAAAAAAAAAAGTACAGAGTAGTTTAATTGATTTAAGAAAGAACACTCTAAGACGTACTTTTACATTTTATTACTAAGTTATTTATCATAAACCAAGTGGAAAAATATTCTGCATATATTTTCTACCAATAATTATTGTCATATACATAAATATAAATATATTAGAAAAAAGAAATGTACAAGTAATATTGGCAATGCAAATAACAGAAATTTTATGTGGATGAATCTTTTATAATAATGTGATAAATAGTGTTAATTATATACGAAGTATATATGAAACAGGTGATCAACCATGGAGTTGCAAAAGAAGTAATGGAAGATGCTATGAAGGTGTTTAGGGAGTTTTTTGAGTTGCCTTTTGAGGAGAAATCACATTTATATTCTGAGGAAAGTAATGTGAAATGCAGACTTTATACAAGCAGTTTTGACTACGCAAATGAAGATATTCACTATTGGAGAGACTGCTTGAAACATAATTGTGCTCCTTTGGAAGATTGTATTGATTCTTGGCCCCAAAACCCTCCTAGATACAGGTAATTATACTTATTCGCTCCTTTGATTTCTCCTAATTATTATTAAGGACATTGAAAACTGTGAAAAAGGTGAATGGAACCGGCATTTGCATTCATACTAGATTTAAATACTTTATAAAAATTATGTAGCTTCTTATATATTGTTTTTTATTCATGCATCTTTTTTATATTTGTAATAAGATGACAAATAAGATACCTCAAATTCATTCTAATTTAAATGTATAAGATTTTTTCTTGTTTACGTATTCACTAGTGTATTCGTTCATGATATGTAGGGAGGTGGTCGCGAAATATTCTACTCAAGTGCGCGAGCTAGGGTTGAGACTTCTAGACCTAATATGTGAAGGTTTAGAGCTTGAATCTGGATTTTTTGGAAATGGTTATGATGAGAATTCTTTCGTGTCAGTGAACCATTATCCACCATGTCCTGATCCAAGATTAACTTTAGGGTTACCAAAGCTTTGTGATCCAAATGTAATAACCCTTCTTCTTCAAGATACTATTCCTGGCCTTCAAGTTTGTGTTGACAACAAATGGCTCCTTGTTAAGCCTTGTCCAGATGCATTTGTGGTTAACATGGGCTACCAAATGCAGGTAAAGAATCTTTCACCCGAACTTTATGTATCTTATCTTATGTTATCTTATTGACTACTCCCTCCGTCCCATAATATGTTCCTGTTTTTCTATTTTGGAGATCCAACATGTTGTTTCTGTTTCTATTTTTGGATAATATGTAAAGACCATTATACCCTCACTTTTTTTAACTTTATTCATTGTACTTCCTAAATTACCCTTGAATTTTGCACATGCCTTGTACTTTTTTCCACTTTCTCTCTCTAACTTTTGTCCATAATTGTACTTTTCACTTTTATTAATGTACTTCATCCACTTTCTCCTCCTATTTTCTTAATTACCGTAAAAAAAACACAAACAATAACTATATTATGGGACGGAGGGAGTATAAATTAATCTTATCTAAGCTTATTACATCTTATCTGAATTTATAGTCTTTAACTTATCAAACTGACTTATTACCTTATTTGGACGAAAAACTAATCATATATCCTAAAATAGTAACAGTTTGCGTGAGTGATTTCAATCTCCCATAGTACCTTACTTGAAGTGAGTAAATAACAATAGATACAAACTCATAGACATTAAGAAAATGCTACCCTTTGAGGTAAGATTGGAAATATATAAGTTAAAGCATAAATTAAATATTTATAACACCAATTGACCCATGATTTTGTCTTGCATTCATAAACTGATACACTCATACTATACACATAGTCACATATGTAGGCATTAGAGCTGCATACATCATAATGTCATCTAGTGAAAAGTTGTGTATATGTTGAGAGATTAGAAGCTTAAAACAACATGAGATCCAAATGTTTAATACTAATACATGGTGTATAATTTATTTATGGCAGATTATTAGTAATGGAAAGCTGAAAAGTGCAGAACATAGAGTGGTGACAAATACACAGAAAGCTAGAACAACTGCAGCATACTTCATTTTACCATCAAAGGATTGCATCATTCAACCTGCTAAAGCTCTTGTTAAAATGGGTGATCCACCACTTTATAAGCAATTTCAATATGCTGAGTTTATTGAGACTTTCAAAGCTCATAGTACTTGGGAACCTGCTAAAGTTTTGGAGCTTTTCGAAAATGTACAGTAAATAATAAAATCGGGATCATTTAGTATGGAGTATATAATCTAGAGATGAAATGCACATATTGGTATTAATTAGAGTATTGAGTAATTAGATGAACAAATATATGTACCTTTCAATCAGTTACATAAATAATACTTACTCCGTTTCTAACATACATGCATTGTTTTGACAATTGTGCAATCAACAACTTCTATATATTAGTACTACCTCCGTGTCGGGGTATGGTCCTACTTTTCTTGGGGTTGCACTCGTGGGCATAACGGTTATTAATAGACACATAATACACTAATACATGTACGTACGTATCTTGCCTAAACAAAATCCTAACCATACATACAAGCAAGAAAAGACAAAAGACCCATGAAATAAAGGCTTAAAAATAGCATAAATAAAATAGAATCTTGCTAACAAGCGCCCCAGAGTGATAAATAAGTAATTAATATATTACTTAAAATAGTATTAAATTCGGAATGCATGACAAAATCACGCGTCGATTGGTGTAATTAATGTTAATTTTAGTTTAATATTTTTATATTTAGTTCTCTTATCTAATGCCATGGGACGCTCGTTAACTTTTACCAATAAAATAAACCCAATTATAGTACTTCGTAGTATATCTGTGTATATATTTTTTTTTTCTTAACGATAGTATATCTGTATATAGATGTGCGCACTGACCTAAAATAATATAGGACCTTCCCGTCAAAAAAAAAATATAGGACCTTATCATTGTAATTTATCTATTACAAATATAATATTACGTTGAATAAATAATTACTTCGTATGCTATTATTACCACTCAATAAGTCACTATTCAATAAGCCTATTTTCTATAGTTATCTCCTTTCTTCATCAGACACTCTCAATCAAGAAATTCCAGGTAACTACATACGAATATTCACTTATTTTTACAAATTTGATTACTTTCATTTCTTTCTTGAAAAAGGATATGATTAATATTTCTTCTAGATAAAGGATCTTATTTGGTATGTTTGAAAATTTTGATTCATTACTTTTACTACTACATGCTATTATTTTCTAGATTTAGAGGTTCATTTTGCTTAGCACAGTCACAAAAGTTGTACTGAATTAGCAAGTTTATTAATTTTGATAATCGACATTAGGAGTAAGATGCAAACGCGTACAAGTAGTGATTTTTTTTTTTTATGGGAGTGATTAATTTATTTAAATGATGTACTTATAAGTTTACATTAGTATGCGACCTTGTTTTACTCCATATCTATACAGGGATCTACTCATCTACGGAATTTAAGTCATAAATCCAATAATAAACACTTAAAATCTAAGGGTGACTTGTTACTTCGTGTGATTTTGGTCATATTGCCCCCTTTGTGGTTAATGACTTTATTGTAATTGTTTCTAAAATTGTAGGTTCAAAATTGTTATAAGACATTACAAGAAGCTCACTCTCTTAAGTTTTCAAAAGCTAATTTAACAAACTAAATGGCGGTGAATTTTGTTTCTAGCTGGTCAGATGGCACAACATTGCCTGAAAGTTATGTGTTTCCGCCGGAGAAAAGGCCGGGAAAGGATGTTGTTCCGACGTCTAAGAATGTTCCGGTTATTGATCTAGGCAAAGCCGAGGGAGAGACTCGTAAAGAAACAATTCAAAAGATCATAGAGGCTAGCAAAGAGTTCGGATTCTTTCAGGTTTGTAATAAGCCTTATTTCTTTGTTCAGGTTGTTTGTTATTTGAATTAGAGATGATCATGGGTCAGAATTAAATTTTTTTAACCTAATTATATTGGGGTGAGTCTGTGGTTAATAACTTGGTACTTATATGTTATGCAGGTGATTAATCATGGAGTGCCGAGAAAAGTGGTTGATGAGACGAGGGAAATTTTTGAAGAATTTTTTGAGCTTCCTAAGGAGGAAATATCGAAATTTTATTCATCGGATATTGGTAAGAAATGCATAGTTTTCACAAGCAATATTGATTTTGATAAAGAAGATATTCACAATTGGCGTGATTCTGTAAGGCCCTTGTGTACTCCTTTACAAGAATGCATCGAATCTTGGCCCGAAAAACCTACTAGATGCAGGTAATGGACTTAACACCTACATATGTACAAGTTCTTGAATCATAGAAATTATAATAAGCTCAAACGTAGATTTACTTTCTTATACGATACGTGAATGAATTCCATGGACCACGGCAATTAAATTGGTAATATATCTGTCATACCTACCCGGTATGATTCAATATCAAGGACCTACTAGATGCAGGTAATGGACTTAACACCTACATATGTACAAGTTCTTGAATCATAGAAATAATAATAAGCTCAAACGTAGATTTACTTTCTTATACGATACGTGAATGAATGTCCATGGACCACGGTAATTAATTTGGTAATATATCTGTCATACCTACCCGATAAACCTATGCATGTGAGCGTCTATCAATAATAAACTTTATGTTTATCAATGGCATATATATAGTACGGAAAAAATAAACATTTTTAATTTAGTAAGTAAAAATTTTCAGGAAGGTTGTTGGGGAGTATGTACGCGAAGTTGGGAAGCTAGGATCAGGATTATTGGAGCTGATAAGCGAAGGACTAGGGCTCGAACCGGGATACTTCGCTAACGAATTGAGTGAGAATCATGTTATGGCTGTTCACCATTATCCACCATGCCCTGATCCTAGCTTAACCTTGGGAACCAGAAGACATAGTGATCCTGGCCTTATTACTTTTGTTCTTCAAGGGGATGTTCCAGGACTTCAAGTATTGAAGGATGGCAAATGGATTGGTGTCGAAGCAATTCCTCATGCATTTGTTGTCAACATTGGATACCAATTACAGGTACTCGTAATTTTTAATGTCTTTGGTTAGATAATATCGCAGGTAATTCCTACTCGTGTTAATGTGTACGTCTTCATTAATTTCCATTACCGCCTATAGAAAAAGTAACGAGTAGACGTGGCATGTAACTATTAAACAAATTTTAATTTAGTTTTCTCTAATACGCAATGTCCCACTTTATAGCTCGCCCCAATCAATCAACCTAGTCCAATGGCTGAAAAGTGGTTAGGAAACATATGCATAAAAAATTCACCAAGATATTCATGTGAGAATATAAGATAATTGCATATAAAATTACACATAAATTCATTATTGTTGCATGGTCGATTAATAAAACTCTGATTAGCGTATTATATTCTTCTTTCCACTTAAAATAAAACAAGTATAATTTGACTTATTCATCATTTTAATGTTAGCTCAATCAAGGACATTAATTAAGTTTATGTTGTTCCACAAATCTGTTCAATGTGCTAGACGCCTAGACCATGTAACATTCTATAGATAGAATAGACGAAGAATTCCTAGGAATTATTGTTTGATTTTAGGATTATGTAGCGAAGATATTAAAATGATCTGGTTCATATGCAATTTGCTGCAGATTGTTAGCAATGGAAAGCTGCGTAGCGTGGAGCATCGAGCAGTAACAAACAAGGATGAAGATCGATTTACAGTAGCGTCGTTCATCGAGCCAATACGAGAGTGCATTGTAGAACCTGCTAAAGCTCTTGTTGATGCAAAAAATCCTCAACTTTATGAGGGTGTTCGATATGCAGACTTCGTTCAAATGTTCAGGACATCTTATTTGGAAAAAAAGGAAGATGCTAATTAAGTAACCTTATATGTTTAGAACTTTGTTGTAATGAATAAGAGTATTATTGAGTAATTATGAGTACTGGCTCATTAGATAAACAAACATACGGAGTATGTACTTTAGACCTTGTAATTAGTTATATGAATAATACTTACTTCGTTTAACAATACATATTCTGCTTTGGATGTTGATCATCATTTTATTATTGATTTTAATTGTCTTTGTGATCTTGTTTTGCATATGCCAGATTTCTATACTCCTTCTCTTTATGAGTATGGAGCAAATGCATCTTTTGGTTCTGATTTGCATATGGATGAGGAGCAACAGTTCTTGGATGCAATGGCTATGGATGCCCCTGTTTCTTCTGACTCTGGAAGAAAAGAAGACTAGAAGATGCTCATGATTCTGCAACTTCTAAATCTACAAAGAACTGATTTCTCTATGGTGGTGTTTAGGTTTTTTTTGGGTTTATCAGCACTACCTTGCTGCTATGTATAATTTTAATGATGCTGCTATGTATAGTCTAATGATGCATTATATTTCTCTTATGCTATGTAATTATGCTTTATGTCTACTGTTTTTTGCCTTGTCAGGCCAGTTCTTTTTTAGTGTGCTGTCTTATGAGAGGCTAATGAGTATTATAAGTTATGTTTTCTACATTGATTGTGCTTCTTTTGTCTCAGTGTTTTTTATTTGTCTTTCATGTAAGCATATCTCAGCCAACTTTATTTATAGTTTTTACTCAAGCATATCCAACTGGCCTTCGAGTATTTTTATGTTTTCCTTGTTTTTCGTTGCCCATACTCTAGTCTATTTGGTGTGTAATCTATGTCCTCCCTTTATGGTTAAACCTCCGTTCATTAGTTACTTGTTCTTGTTTTTGTCTAGCTTTCGTTTTGCATTGTCAAATAAGTCAACCCTTATTTGGCTAGTAGTATTTACTAACCCGAGGTTGCTTTGTTACGGTTATCATATGGACACAATTCTTTGTTTAAGAAATACTCTGAGATATGTATGGACACTCTATTGGCCTTTGTTTTCGAGCATTTTTGACATTCTTTTTGACAACACTTACTACTCAATTTTATTTCTCTACATTGTCTTATTTATATTTGTCCTTTGCTGTCTTTCAGCTGAGCATGCTCAAGATTCTTTGGTGCATTTTTCCTAGTCTAGAAATATTGAACTTTTTTAATAAATCTAAAAATAAGACAGGTTGGCTAGCTTTGAAACTGGATATGGAAAAGGCATATGACAGAATAAAATTGGGATTTTTTATGGGCAACTTTAGCTGTGTTTGGTTTTGATAGTACTTGGATTGGGTGGATACAAGCTTGTGTTACTACAGTCTCCTATTCACCCATAGTCAACTCAAATTCCTCTAATTTAATTATACCGTCTAGAGGACTCCGTCAAGGTGACCCTTTGTCCCCAGTTTTATTCGTCATTTGTATGGAAGACCTATCAAAAAAACTGTTGTCTGAGGCAGTTTTAAATAGACACGGCATTGGTTTTAAGATTTCTCCTTCAGCCCCAATTATTCCCTGCCTTTTATTTGCTGATGATAGCCTTCTTTTTTGTAAAGCAACTTCTACTTCTTGTGTACATATTTGTAATATTTTATCAGAATTCTCAGCTCTCTCTGGTCAACTGATAAACTATCATAAGTCCTCTATTGTTATTTCAAAGTTGGTTCCCTCGTCAAAAAAACAAAATCTAGCAAGTTATTTTAATATGACCCCTAAATCTTTTTTAGGAAGATACGTGGGGGATTTTATTCATTTCCTCGTCCTTTACAAAGCATAATTTTCAACATTTGATTGTCAAAGACGAACAAAAAATGAACAATTGGTCTGCTAACACGATCTCCAAAACCGGAAAAATTGTTTTAATTCAAAGTCATTTGGAGTCAATGCCCTCATACGCTATGTCCACAACTCGTCTTCCAAAATTGACTACAAATTCTCTAGACCAGATAAATCGAAAATACTTTTGAAAACAATCCGCTGACAAGCAGGGAATTCCTATGGTGGCTTGGGATACAATTTGTCAACCAAAGGATTATGGTGGCCTTAGCCTTCACAAGACAGACACCATTAATTTTGCTTTTTTAGCTAAACTAGGTTGGAAAATTATTTCTGAACCAAATAATTTATGGGTTCGCTCTGTTACGGCTAAATATTTGTCGCAAGAAAACCTTTTTTGAATATTGCCCACGGCGCAAAGACTCCTGGATATGGAAGAAAATTCTGCAAATACGACCCCTTCTTCTTCGTGGTTCCCGATGGAAAATTGGTAATCGGACAAGTGTTCTTTTTTGGTTAGACAATTGGCGTGCCTATGAGAATCTTATTTCTTTGTGTAGTTTGGACATCTCTACTGTTGCCAATTTGGATATAACTGTGGATCATTTCATTAATAGTAATAAAGAGTGGGATCGCAACTACTTCCTGATCATCTAGTTTATCTCATTAAAGGTATACCCCTTCCTGCTTCAGACATTCAAGATGAACCTTGTTGGGGTTTGTCAAATAATGGGAATTTTACTGTTAAATCGGCTACATGGCTAGCCCATAACATTCCTTCTTATACTAAATGGGAGTTTGCATGGATTTGGTTGGTGGAAATTTCACCTAAACTTTGTCTTTTTATATGTCAACTATTACATAACGTTCTCCCTACACGAGCTAATCTGGCTCATCGTCATATTACTATCCCAACTTTATGTCCTTTTTGCCAACTTACCACTGAGACTCAAGATCACCTTTTCCTTTCGTGTAATGTTGTGCAATCATTCTGGAAACATGAGGCTACTATCAACTGAATCTGTTCTTTACATACCCCTGGATATTGGTATTTTTTTGTTATTTAAAACTTTAAGAGGCAACTTCTCTTTGTTTTTAAAAAAGATTATTACTTTCATATGGAGTATTTGGAAAACCCGAAATGCCTTAATTTTTAAAAATACCCCTGTTTCGTCCTTGTCTACTCTTTCTCGAGCTCAAGTAATTTACTCTGAATGGACTATTAGGACTTGTTTAGACTCTCATGAGGCTACTCCTACTCTGTCCCCAACTCCTATTAATATATTTCATGTAGCTTGGTCCCCTCCCCCTGCTGGTGTTGTTAAAGTTAATTTTGATGGTTCTATTCGAAACGGGTCCGGTGCTGCAGGTATTGTTATTAGAGATCACTTTGGCAATAACATCTGTAGCCGTACGTTTAATTTAGGGGCGAATACTCCTCTAATTGCTGAAGCTATAGCTTTCCGAAATGGGCTCCTATTGGCCCGCGCCAATAATTTTTCTAATATTTTAATTGAAGGTGATAACTTGCTTATTATTCACATTTTGCAGGGTAAAGCTCAGTGAACCTGGAAGATTCACCTATTGATGGATGATGTCAAAGATCTTCTTCGTCATTTCCGCTATGTGGACTCCAAGCACATTTATAGAGAAGTCAGTGGAGCAGCAAATTATGTTGCTTCCTTGGGTCATTACATGCAAACCCATCAAGATATAGATCCCTTTTTAGATAATAAATTTTCTTTTTTTATTACTTCTAATAAGTTAGGGGTTAGTCTTGAGAGAAGATTTTCCTAACTTCCGTGTGCCTTTCCTTTAAAAAAGAAAAAAAAATGTTCTATTTTGATCATTGTTAAGTCAATTATATAAATATTGGCCTTTGACACCATGATCAACATATATATAATGTACTCCTTTTTTTTCACTTGTTTATCAGAATTTAGGAAAGAACAAAATTGGACTTGAATTTAAACTTTGAAACAAATTAAGGCTCTATTCTTTTGAGCTTCTAGACAAAGTAGGGGTTAGCAAAGCAGAGCAGCAGCTTTCAACACTGCAGTTTTCAGCAGAGCAGTCAGAACAACTCAAAAGAATAGGGCCTAAGTGAAACTTCATTTTTTTTAAGATACTATTATACGGTTATACCAATAGTTATACTTCCCTGTATTCTGACCACCATTGTAAGGCCCAAATGAAGAAACCTCAGTCAGTCCCATATAATAATGGCCTAGGATATATGCATACTTCGGAATTTGGCAAATGAGAAATGACAGAGTTACTCCGCCGCTAGCCACATCTTTCCTTGATTTGCATAATCCACTACCCGAAACTCTGGGGGTACCCGGTCATGAGCACCCTAATTGCAATTATAGCACGTGCTACCCCTAAAAAAAAAATTAAAAAACATATTATTGGCTGTTTAAGGTATGTTAATTTTGTTTAATTACTAGAGCTTGGTTAATTGATTGAAATATATATTATTAAACTAAGGTTAGAGTTTAGTTGATTGATTGAAATGCACAATTGATAAGTTAATTTTGTTTAATTACTCATAAATTACAGATTTTAACCACTTAATTGATAGGTATTGTTCAATTGTTGTTGGATAATTGGATTAAATGGCTAATTAAATTAGGCTTTTTTTTTTAATTAAGATATATGTAGGAGATTAGATATGTCTTCTCATAAGACAAAGGCTAATTAAATTAGCTAGCCACTTCTCTCTCATAAGAGGGACCGAGGCTTGAGGGAGTAGCAATATTCATGTATAAAAAAAATGAGGGAGTAATAATATTAATTAAATAAATAAATAAAATACCACCTTAAATGCTAGTATGCTACGGAGTAATTAAAGACTCGTAGATGCTAGATGTGTTCTACATTCAACATTCTTCTTGTGTTCATTGTTCCAGTTTCTCCAGGTAATTATTTTCTTTATTATTTTTTTTAATAAAAAATTTAAGTTATTTTCCCACAATCTATCCCTTCTTCATCTCTCTTTTTTTTTTTTCAATTCCAATACTACTGATAATTCCAAAGATTTGTTTTTTCTTCCTAATTAACATAAATACTTAATTAATACTTGTTATTGTCATACTTAACTGGGTTCTTGTAATTTCGCTATTTGAATCTCTAAATTTCTCTTTGCAATTCAATGTCACCCTTAATTAATCTGTTTGAATTGGGTCATTGATTTGATTAGTTATTTTTTTCTTGTATTTATATAGAATAATTAGTCATTGATTTGTTGCTTAATTTATCGATATTCGATTGGATTATTCGTTACTAATTATTAATGCTTAGGGATTAATAATATATTCAGTTTGTTTTTCTAATTATAGTTTGTTGTTAATGTTAGTAGTATCCAATTTGAGATCTGAAATTTTGAAAATTCAAGTGTTGGGCAATACCATTAGAGTTGACTGTGACTCAGTGAAGCAGGAATAAGGTTTGTTTATTTTCTTCAATTTACCTGATTTTTTGTTATTGGATTCAAATTTGTTGAATTATGAATCGAATTTGATTTTGGATTATATAATGTTTGGATGAATTATTTTGATTATTATTTGAAAGGATTCTAAGTCTATTGTTTGGATATTGCTACACTATAACCTTGGAGTAACTGATGAACTATGATTTTTCGAGTTTCGGGTGATTTGGAAACCATGTGCATGTTTTTAGGTGAAAATTTTACTGATTTACATTTTATTTAACATCCATGAGATTTATCACCTTAACTGTTACTACTTCTGTGATAGTAGTAGAATGAAACTGTATATGATTGACATCGAAAGTTTTCGACTTTGAATTCGTGTGTTGGCTGGTGGTGGTGGTACTTAGATCGTTTCGATGTGGGCTGTTGTTGATTTTTAAGAAAATTGGGTTCTTTTATCAGGGGGCTATTGATTCTTGGCTGTTAAATCCTTTCCAATAGATTAATGCGAGGGGAGGATGGAGTCAAATTTGGTTATGTGATATCGCGAGAGATAAAATAACAAAAAGGTTGTGGATTGTTTTTATAATTTTAGTTGTGAATAATAGCTTGCAAAATGATGTTCTTGGGATTGTATTGCAACAAATTTAATTAAAGTCAATTTTAAGTGGAATGGGGCTTGTTAGGAGGTTTATTGCTTCTTGGGTGTTTAATCCATTCAAATAGATTCATGTGAGGAGTATGAAGTCAAATTTGGTGATATAACATCAGATGGAATTAAAGAAAAAAAGATCGTGGATTGATTTTTTTATTTTAGCTGGTGAATAAATGTTTGCAAAATGTGTTCTTGGGATATTATTTCAACAACAAATTTAATCGAACATTTGAACTTTTATCAATAGCTCTTCTTACTCAACAAAAACAGAAATAGCCATCAAACTGACAAAGGTGGAACTGAGTTTTAAAGCCCCGTCAATGGAGAGGCTAAGTCAATTTGATGTTTTCAACTATCCGTAAGACCTCGTGAAAAGGGAAAAAATTGATTGATTTTCATCTAGATATTAAGGATATAGGGTATAGTGTGGAGAGAATATATTCAATGAAAATCTTATGAACCTAGTTAGCTTGACTTTCCACAAAGACCATCTGGAAAATAAAGGGCATTGGTTTTCAAAACTTGATACTTGACTGGCACAATTGTCATTTGTCATGATATATTGGAGAGCTTTTTTTTAAGATTTTTGTTTGAAATGTTATAATGTGTGTGATGTACTCCGTAGAACTTTATGACTTTGTCCAACTCCTATCTATTATTCCATGAACTAAAAAAATTAATTCGGAGTAGTTGTTTTCATGTTAAGTTATTCATTTTACAATGATTTATTGCAGACGGATCATTGTTTACAAATTACAGCTCTCGAAATTTTGGTATGATGGATCACAAAGAAAACCAGGACTCTTTAACAAGTAACTTGGCTAATATTGCACGGAGATGCTTGTTTGGTGTCCTTTCTATGGGACCAATCCCTGATCATATTGCTTTCATTATGGATGGAAACCGAAGATATTCTAGGAGATTGAAATTAGAGGAAGGAGCAGGACATAAGATAGGCTTTACTGCTCTAATGTCCATGCTTAAGTACTGTTATGAGCTGGAAGTGAAATATATAACTGTATATGCCTTCAGTATCGATAATTTTAAAAGAAGTCCTGAGGAAGTGAAATTTTTGATGGAGCTTATACAGGAGAAGATTGAAGTCTTGTTAAAAAAAGATAGCATTGTTAACCAATATGGAGTTAGAGTTCATTTTATCGGGGACTTGAGGCTACTAGATGACTCGGTAAGGTTAGCTGCTGAGAAGGCTATGGCAGCCACTGCTGGTAACTCCAAAGCTGTGCTCTCAATTTGCATTGCTTACACTTCTACCAATGAGATTGTGAATGCTGTTCAACAATCTTGTGAAGAGAAATGGGATGAACTCAGAATACTAGATTCATGTGGTGCAGCGTATGGGTTAACCGATTATACTGGCAATGGGCACACAACAGAGAAAACTCAATAGGTGTGATGGATGTTGAGAAGCATATGTATATGAATGTTGCTCCTAATCCTGATATTGTGGTTTGGACTTCTGGAGAAAACCGCTTGAGCAATTTTCTTATCTGGCAGAGTGCATACTCCATTCTGTATAGCCCCTCTGTGCTTTGGCCTGAGATTGGTCTTTGGCATCTAGTTTGGGCTGTCCTGAATTTCCAAAGAAATCATGCTTGTTCGAGAAAGTAAAAAACACGACAATACTGATGATACGAAACAATACAGTTGCAGGAGCTGGAATCTATGAAGATAAGTGAAGGCCAGTTGACGTCTTATAAGATTATAATGATTACAAGATAATCTATGAAGTAGTGTTGTTTACGAAGTAGTTTACATTTTACAACCTATTACTCCATAAATCATTCTCTTCAACTCTTTTTTTTTTTTCTTCAATTCAAACGAACTCTAAGTTCAAATCATGTCCAATTTGGTCCAAATTTTTTAAAAGCTAACCAATTTTGGGCCAACTATATTTTAAAGCAAATAATGGCAAAGGTGCTAGTGTGCTACAGTAGTATTAAGCTAACACTTCGTTACATTTTGGCCCATTTTGAATATTGAAAATTCTATATTTGATTATTTTCATAAATGATACTCCGTATATAATATAGAATAATACAAAATATAAATTGTAATATATATATATATATATATATATATAATCTTTCCATTTTAATTCATATCAATAAATTTGGATTGAAATAGATTGAACTTCATAATGATCTCTTATGGGATAATCTAGTAACATTATCACTGTAATTTATTTATTTTTTCTAATCATTTTTGAGGAAATTCTTGTTTGACTAAACCTTTTATCACCAAGCAATGTCACTAACTTGGTGGAGTTGTATTAGGATCATGCTACAATTTACCTACCCACTAGAGATTGAGGAATTAAATATACTCTACTACGTATCAATTTTATCTCTAGTAATAAGTTGATTGTAAAAAAAAAAGTTGATTGTCTAACTTAGGGGTGAGCATGGGTCGGGTGCCCCTACCGTTAACACTATCGGTTCGGGTATCCGATAACCAATAACACTAAATATAATATCCATTAACCGAACCGATAAGTTTGGATACCCGAATTTCGGGTACCCGGATTTTCAAATCGGTTATCGGGTACCCAGTATGCTATCTAATTATGAAAATTTAGACTTTATAATTTTATTATTATGATATCATTCAACACTAATTAGCAATAATACCACATGATCATGACCAAATTACTAATCATATTACTAACCATTTTAATTATGAAGTGATTATGAAGTAAAGTAAGAGTTTAGATTTTGGATAAATAGATTTAAGTAGGAAAAAAAAAATTGTTAATTAGATCGGGTGACCTTTAATTTTAAAATGATACCTAATAACCGTATCCGATAAAAAATTATCAGATCGGATACCCAAACCGTTATGGTTATCGAAACAGATACCCTAATTTTCGATTTTTCAGATAATTTTGCTTATCCCTACTAATGAGTATAATTTCTTTTTCCCCCTATAATTTTGTATACTTGCTTGATGACTATTTCAAAACATGACCTTAGTGATCCTTTAATACGTATAACCTAAGATTTACAGGTCAAGAAATTATCGAATTGTTTAGATTAGAATTTGCTAATGTATGACAATTCATACAAAATTTACGTACCATCTTATACAAATTATTTAATTAAGCATTGTCACTACTTACGATATAGACCATATAGTGATATACATTCCAATGTTGATGAATGTTACTCTAGATAGGTGTGTGCTTGTCAATATGATGCTAGTTTTGACTAAAGTGCGATATTCATTACTCTTTTTTTTTTTTTTTTCCATTTTCTATGAGCTAATGTAATTAGGGGTGTACACCGGTCCAAAACCGGACCGGACCTGGACCGAACCTGTTTGGACCGGGGACCTGAATTGGGTAATTATGAGGACCGGGGACCGGACCTGAATTAACAGGTCCGGTTCCGGGCTAGACCTGAAAAATCAGGTCCGGTCCAGGTTTGGACCTGAATGGACCTGTTTTGTGATTTTTTCGTTTTTTTTTATTTTTTTTAATAAAAAACTTGTTGGACCTGCATATGGACCTGCGTATGGACCTGTTTTGTGATTTTTAGACCTGTTGCATAATTAAATAATTACATACAAACCAAAATTATTAATCACAAAAGTACAAAACTACATAAAGTCTATAAAAGTATAAAGTCCCAATTCTCAAACACCAAAAATACCAAAAAAAAAACATAAATTCGATATGAAGTACTTTTGGCTATCTGAAACACAGGAAACACTCTCTTATTATCCTTCATGCTGCGCCTATAACACTCTGCCATCTTGGAAGCCCTTTTCTTTTCTCCAGGTTTAAGATCCCGCCTATTCGATATGAAGTACTTTTGTTTCCACTCCATTGTCACGAACAAACTGTTTCCATCCATCTGTAAACACCAATGGCCTTTCATCATATGTACTCGAGAGTCTGATTTTCCATTTGTGTTTACTTGGCGCTATAAGTGTACACCACGGGGAGAGTTTCTCCTTGAAACACTCCATGAACTTCTGAGGAATATTCTGCAAGAAATGTTCACCAAAAAATTCAATCAAGTGAGCTAATATATATTAATAATATAAGTGCAGTTGCTTTCATAACACTCCATGAAGCATACCTGAATACAAATGCCTAGTTAAGCATCATCTTTGAGAATTAATGAATGGTTAATTGTTGTGTTTTAAAGCAGTTTTTAGGAGATCCAAAGACCTTTTTTTTTTTAAATGCAAGATCATTAAAAAGCTGATCTTGTTAACATAAATTCCGGAAATTTTCATGACATCGATAAGAGAAGTAAATAAACCAATTGGAAATATAAGCAAATAACTAAGAGTATAGAAAATCATCTTGAATAGACACGGATAGAGCACAAAACAAAGTGGGGAGGGTGTCTCTTTTTAAGGATGCTCAGTATTCATTTCAAGACGGTACAAGTTTCATTTGAGTAGGCAAAATTTAAGACAAAACCAACAACCTTAACCTAGGACCTGGGTTTTTCCTTCTTTTCCTTGAACAGAGCTAGAAGAGAGACACCAGCAACCTTGACAACCTTAAATCGGACTCCAGGAATATCTCCCACAGCATGTCCTTTACGACCAAATCCAGCAATCAACACCTCATCCTGCACAAACCACATTTTCTTAGTATGGAAGGAAAAACAGAGCTAGATAATATCAATTTCAAAGTCAAATACAATATAATCAGGTAACAAATATTAGAAAAAATTCCACAAACTTCTGCATGATCCACATTTTCAGCATGAATCTACACCCAAACACAACATTAAACTACATACATATAACAGAAGACCTTGACTTCTTTTACCAATCAGGTAACTTCTTTAGTAAAAGGGAACAATTTATCGTTCTTTGATAAGAAGTATGAATTAGCATTATCTTAGAACAGCTTTTTCCAGATGATTTGCTCATGAAAGGATAAAAAACCAACAGTGTATGACTGATCTTAATTGCTCAAGCTATATACTCTCCACCGCAATACTGTTATGATAGTCTTAAACCACAAAAATAAAGCTGCACATGTACTGAACAGGAGTGGGTGCAGGAGTACTGACAGAAGAATCAGATAAACCAGCACAGAAAGAGTGCGCACTATCATGTTTTATATGTTTCTGGATAAACTGTTATCAAGAGTTTATGATATGAGTATAAGAAAAGCATTGTTACTAATGTTAAACCTTCAGTAATCAGATGCCAGTATTTCTCCAAAAAATCCACAACAGAATTGACATTATTTCTACAATGGTTAACAAATAACTGGAGTTGTTTAGACTTTAAGAGTTTCTACAAAGGTTAACAAATAATTGGAGTTGTTTAAACTTTAACAAACAACATTATTTCTAACACGGTTAACAAATGACAGTTAACAAACTGCTAGTGTATCACTAAGTTTGTGTCGAAAGGCACAAAATACCAGCAAATTCACAACCAAGCAATTTATGAAACAGTAAGTGCATATATGCTTGCAGACATTAATAGAACGGACTTACATTTTCCTCAATGAAGTTCAAACAACCATCATTGGGCACGAAAGCAGCAATCTTTTTTCCATTCTTAATCAACTGCACACGAGCACACTTTCTGATAGCAGAGTTGGGCATTTTTCTGCAATGATAAGTTTATGCAACAACGCTTATATAATGAGTAATAACATAGAATTTATGCATCCGAATGCATAAAATCAACTATTCAATTTGAAGCCATGCCAAAGGTCAATGCAAAGTACTAGATAAACACTAGACTACTAGATGTTTACAATCTAATCACTACTTTCTCTGCTCTTCTGATTTTATTAAACCCTAAAACCCTAAACTTTAAACTAAAAAAAACCAAAAAAAAAAACATAAATTCGAAGATAAACCATACTTGTTATCAATTCTAAACATTAAACCCTAAAACCCTAAACTTTAAACTAAAAAAAACCAAAAAAAAAAAACATAAATTCGAAAGAAATTCGAAAATAAACCAAAAAAGAAAAAACATAAATTCGAAAACATTGAAGTAAAAAAAAGAAATTCAACATGCAAACATCAAATAATCATTATAAGCAATTGAAACATGAATAAACATATAAATTCTAACACTTAATTCATTATTTCGAATACAAAATACCCAAACATAATTAGATAATTTAGATTTACATTAAAAAAAAAAAAATAACTTACCGGAGAAATGGAAAATCGCGCAGTAGCTGTCTCATGCGGTGGTCGGTGGGCACCTGGGCTTCGCCTGAGAGAGTGAGGAAGGCAGGAGGTGTCGGCGGTGGGCGTTGCCGCGTTGGGCTGAGACTGGAGACAGTGAGCGTGACTGCATGAGGGAGAGGGGGAGACAGCCTGTTTGTTAGGGTTAGAATGAAATGAAAGAGAATTCAAGCGTCACTCAAGCAGCAGCGTTATTTTGATTTTTGATTTTTTTTTTTTTTTTAAAAAAAAAAATACAATTTTTCCGGGTTTCAGGTCCGGACCTGAAAACCCCGGGTTTAGACCGGGTCCGGACCGGAACCGGGAACCTTGATTTTTAAGGACCGGGACCGGACCTGAATCAACAGGTCCAGGTCAGGTCCGGTCCGGATCAGGTCGGTTCAGGTCCGGTTTCAGGTCCGGTCCAGTTTTTGTACACCCCTAAATGTAATAGGTTCATCTTCGTTAGGCTGAGTTTATTGCAAGTCTTGGAAGGAGTACTGAGATGAGTCTTGAGCAAAATTTTTGCAATAATGTATACAAAGACTATATCTAGTCTTGAGAATAGTTTTATTGTTGCCCAAAAGTACAAAAAAATTATTGTTGCCCAATAGTGAGCTGCCAACTCACCATCTTAAAAATAATTTATAAAAAAAATTAAATATATAATTAAATGATTGTTAAAAAATTAATATAATAAGTAAGTCTTGGAATAATGTGTAAAATTGGAGAAAGTCTTATATGAGTCTGACTAATAAAAAAATAATTAAAAGTTAGTGAAAATCTGATGTGACAGAGTTTGAATTATAAATTTTAGTCTTGGGATAACTTATCCTTATTTTTAAGTATCCATCATACACTGATACTCTCTCACATTCTCTACCTTATGTTCTATAAATTTCAACTTCCCACTTATTATGATTCTTATCTCTATGGAGTAAATTAAAAACATTATTGTCGAATGGTAACAGTTACCTACAAAAGATCTGATTCGTAAATTGTAATAAGAAAGCCTTGATTGGATTGTGTTATGGGCAGAACCAATTATACACAAATACACGCAAGTTGATCTTTAGATGTTTTTTCGAAAAAAAAAAAAAAAAAAGAAAGAAAATAACTCCTTTTTAAGTATTGGTGTCCAACTGTCCAATAGGGTGAGAAAGTTAGTAAATTAGCAATCTCTATTTTGAGGCTATTTATACTGTTACGAGGTTAGTTCCTCCTTCTCTAACATCATCCACAAGCATCATTGACTTTCTTAATGACTTTTCCAATTTGTCAACATAAATTATTGTTTCCAAAGGTTTACTTTTCACGATTGGACCGCTTGACTTTTATGGCTTAATCAAAAATCAAAATTAATAACACCATTTGGTCTTTTGACGCATGTCATACCAAATACTAGTAGTAAAGAAAATTACTTTTGAAAGGTGTACTTTTGAAAGGTGAAAATTTATTTAGGTTACTAGAGAATACTTGGTGTTAATTGTATGTTAATTTTATTTTGGATTAGATAGACTTTTATTTGTATTTTTCTATTACTACATCAACAGTGGAGTAAGGGAAAGCAAATAATAGGTCGTTATATTAAAATCATTTTTTAAGGAGTCGAGAGAGATAAAAATATACTTCGTAATAGATATTTAATTTGACATAAAATGATATTAACCAAATTGTTTTTTTCTCTTCTCTTGCTCACTACTTACAAAGGTTATTGCTTTTCTCTGGGTTGTCACTATTTTTTTTTTTTTGTTAGAATGAGGAATAGCTCAAGTGGTTAGACCTTTCCTCCCGGTTTCAGGAAATCCAGGGATCAATTCTCACCCCCACTACCCTTATGGCTCTAAAAAAATAGTTTTTTTTTTGTAAGCCCTTAACTAGAATTATAGATAGTTAATAATTCTCTACAAATGATGTCCATATGTGGGAGTTTTCCCATCTCTGTCGAATTATTCATCTCGTCTATCTATAGTATGAACTACAATACTTAATTATTGTTAGATTCATAATAATTGAGAAATTTATCTGATTTCTAAATGGATTACTCATGAAATCTTGTAGGGAGCATTACGTACATCAATTGTTTAATCCAACTCGGAAAATAATAATTACAACATAGTTTTGAAAGACTCCGCTTTAAGAGAATGATGCAAAGCCATGTAAAATGTCATGGCATTTGTCCAATTGTGCATTATCAAAACACCAAGTTTTATACTTTTTACTAATGAAGGGTAAAGATACATGATTAAAGTTATAAGTTTAAATATATAAAAGTTCAAATAGAACAACATTATAATAAGACAAAGAAAGTAATAATTAGAAATGTATAGAATGCCTTAATATGATCCGAAGTTTGAAATGTCTTAATTAGATGAAAATGAAATAAATTTCTCATAACTTACATAGGACTCAAAAATTAAAAATTAACTTAATCGAATCATACTCAATTTAGATGATTCGTTTAAAAGGTGTTCTCACTACAAACTTATCTTTTGAAATTGTATATGTAATACGATGTACAAAACTTTATGAGTCAAGAAATAAAAAGAGTAAAACTAGTAATCTATGTTCAGATAAGTTAAAACTATAGTCAAATTAATTATATGAAATTATTGTTAAAATAATGTAAATATGAATTGAAATATTTAGATGTACAAGGAACTTTAAAGGTATAAGAGTGCATAACTTAAAGATGCACCTCTCACTTTAATTTACTTTGTTTGTGCCATCATTTTCTAAATTTTCAAAGTTTGATAAGACTACAAGTTTTGGAAATTATAGGCCATATGATGAAGTATTAGGCTGAATTGACAATTAAACACTCACTTCTCTCTCGCATGCATGCTTCATTCATCGTAACTTAAGATTTTCTATAAGTTGACTCATCATTTGAATTTTAGGCCAAAACAAATAAAAAGCATGTTGGCAAAATTTTCAGCTGCGTACAATCTCAAATTATACATATATAATTTTAAATTCATTAAAAGGACTTTGATACCCTATTTATCAAGTAAATTAAAACGAACGAAAGCCACTAACTTTCATCAAAAGCCAAGTAAAAATCGACAACAATTTCATCCTTGATAACTATTATACATCTTTTTTAATTTTTTATTGTTATTCTAGATAAGTGACCTATAAAAGTTACGACCAGTGCACCTTCTATTATATCGTGTTCATATGAAAACTTTTTTTTAAAAGAATATGAAGTATGAAGTATATCAATGTGAAGATTCTAAAGAAGTAATGAGTCAAGTAATCAACCAATCCATTTTGCTACAACACCACAAGTCTATAGCAAAGAAAACGCTAAAGAAGATGACCTAAGATTTTATGAGAGAGTCTTTTGGCAGTACAATGATAACTTGTATCATTTTATGGATCTAATTTTTGGGACATTAATTGAACAAATTACAGTCAAGAACTTGTAGCTAGGGAAACTGAATACTCTGAATGTGTTATAAAAAAAAACGTATTTATACACCTATATTTTTATTTGACATAAGCACGTACTACACTTAGCAATACGAGGAATATGTCAAATAATTTTATTTTTTTAATTGGTATTACATGTACATATAAAAAAGATCGTATATGCTTTATATTTATGATTTGAATCAACAGCAAAATAAAGTGAGTCCTAGGCTCCTATTTAAATTAGCATGCACTCGAATAGGAGATGTGAAGTGTTGATTGATGGACGAATTAATTTATGGAACTTCATATTATTCTTAGGAGTAAAGTGTGACTAGCTACCCTAGTATAATCAATAATGTTTATGAGTGATGGCATTATTCGGGTATATATAGCATGTATGATGGTAAGGTGCACTTAAGTTGTGCTTTAGAAATTACTCAAGTAACATAACAAAAGTAAACAACTATGAGCTATAGCCTATAGGGCAAAATACTCTGTGCTCGTACTTCAGTAGCCCTTACATTAATTATTTGCTTACTTGAACACACCAATTAACTACAACTAAGGGGGGAAAAAAACACTACAACTAAGAAATTAATGAATTATCTGTAACTGTGGACGTAGAAATTATTAAGGCGAAATTGGACTCATCATCATTTTCCATTGTTGTGCTATTATTATTTTTACCTGGCTTAATTCTTACCATGCATTGAACAATATGTATGTTAGTTCCCATGCATTTTTAAAAATCCATTGTAGAATATATATACTACCTTCATTTCATATTAGTTGCAACTTTAGAATATTTTATATCTCACAAATAATACCCCAAAGTTGTAACTAATATGAAATGGAGGTAGTATAAGAATAAGAATAAGAATAATATAAATTAATATGGCAGAATATATATATATAAGAATAAGAATAATATAAATTAAACGGCAGAGTAATGTATATGGAAGGTTGTTGGTTCTCAATATATTACATTAGTGGATTTATTTTAGTTGTCTTGTCATTGATTCAGATTATATTGTCAAACTGACTTATATTGATTCGGATTTGACCAATAAGCAAGCAAGTAACCATTCATAAATCAAAGAAAAAAGTAACTAACTAATTAAAACATACATGTGAACATAGCTTAGCTTGAAAAGTATTTATACATATGCTTTAGATGAAATAACAGTTTAAGAGCCTAAATTCGTTTAGTCATAATGAAATCATCATATATACATTATGGTTGAGAGTTGAGACAACCAAATGAGAGCAGAGAGTTAGACATTGCGTTAATTATCTTAGAAAGTAAAAGAAAGTAGATTATTAAAAAGTAGTGATATCGATATAGTACATCATAAACTTGACGTAGATCGATTATTTATGAAGGAACTTAAACCCCTAAAAACAAAAGAAAAATAAAAAAAAGATAATAAAGAACATGCTAATTTAAGTAGGAGATAAAAAACATCTACTACTTATTGATTATATCTTCCTACTAGATCATGTTGTGCATCAAGAAGCTCCTCTAACACATTATTATCCACGTACTCAAACTCAATAACTTGTTTTTGATCCTCTTGCTCTCTTGAAAACGTAGAAGAAGAAGAAGAAGAAGAGCTTCCTCTACCAAAAACACTACTAGAACTACTACTATCACTAGAATGATAGTGTTGTTCATTAGGGAAGTTGAGTATTGCAAGGTGACCTCTCAAGGCAAAGGCCGCCCTATCATAAGCACGAGCCGCCTCCTCGGCCGTGTCAAACGTTCCAAGCCACAAACGAGCACCATTTCTCTTAGGATCACGTATCTCAGCCGCGAACTTCCCCCATGGCCGCCTTCGAACGCCTCTATACTTAGAAGCGGTATTACCTTTGTTGTTATTGTCACCTTCCATTACTTTTGCTTAGCTACTAAATTGTGCAAGTTATCTCAAATTTATGTAGATGTTGTGTGTATATATATATGAACTAATTTAATGATGCATGAAGAGTTATTATTGAAGACTATGTATTATGTACGAGGCCAATTACATATATTTATATAGTTGAATAATTTGGTAGCAAATAATAATTTATGCTAGTGAGTGGTGGCGGGCTTGAAAGTGATTAATGAAAAAATTGACGGTCCAAAGTGACGGGTTGAAGTTGATGCTGAAGATGTCTAAATTGCGTTCAACACCTTGATTTACGTGCCTTTATTAATATACTATGAAAATGTTTTCAATAAGGAACAAGAACCATGGACCATTGGACCCCGTATATGGGTGTTTAGTGTCTTTTAAAATTTCATGCATTTTTTGTTGCTATAATATAAAAGTATAAAAGTATATTACGTGTACACTATATACAATTAATAACCTGTGACGTGTGATATACAAGGATTTTTGTTGTATTCATCTTATTTCCCAAACAAATGATAATATGATATGATAGATAGATCTTATGTTTGGCCTTTTCAGTCTATTTACAAGTTATTATCATGGAGCAAATTACCCTTAAGTTTGATGAAATTGTCTGAGGAATGAGGGTGATGAATCTGATGATGCCCTTAGCGGCTTAGCCCAATCCACCTCCACATCTTAGCTAAGGGATCTAATTAGCTAAAACTAAGTCGGGAACCAAATCTTATTCAAAAATAATACGAAGTACTCTCTATGTTAGTTCCATAATGTTGGTTATTTTTTTTGGTGTTTTTACGCGGTTATTACTCCATATCAAGAAAAAGAAGATATTGGAAAGCAATGATTAAATATCACATATATCAAGTATTTAGGCATTAAGTCAACGTTAGAAATGAGAATATTTGTTTGGGAGTAGGTAAATCAATCAATAGGTAAATAATAAGTAAATATTTTCAAAAGGAATAGTTGCTTAGGGATATATATATAACAAAAGCACTGAATATCATTTTTAATTGTTTGTTGAATATAAAGTGATGAGAAATATGTACGCCTACTTTTGACATATCATTGGCTCATTGCTAACATCACTTTGAAGTGCAAGTATATATATCCTATATAAGTAGTATATTTGTTACCAAAATGATTTTACTATCTTTAAACTAGAATAAAAATAATAAATTGAGTTAGACCAAAGAAATAAGCAAAATATATTATTGTAGACATTTTGGTAACAACATTATTTTCTTTTTCCTTGTATATAGTATATTTCATCTTATTTAAGGTCATCATTTTTTAAAGATACAAAGTACTTATTACGTAGTATAAAAGATATGAAATAAAAAATATGGATATATATGTTAACTAAACATGAAAAAAAATATCAGAGTTGACATATGGGTAGGTTATGAAAATATTGATGAAGGGTAACCTATGAAGATCTACGAAAGAAAGGAATGTAGAGTGTGTGATGTGGAGATTGTAGATGATGTGATATCTTGTACTGTACAATGTATTGGAAGGTTTTTCAGGGATGGAAAATCTCATTTTAGAGTATGTTTGCCACCATTGTAAAAGTGTTGTTGCATGCCTGGCTATATTTTATATATACATTATTAATATGCATGTTGATTTCAATTCTTTTATGGATTGGCTTTTTTTAAATCTTTTTTTATGCTTACAAATTTACAATTAAGATTTAAGAGTGAACAACATATACTATACATGATGTACTGATATAGGTGTGTATGTAATGTCATTTCCTATAATTTAAAGGGTGTTCCTTTAGGAGATAAAAAGGTTTGGGATAAGAATAAAAAATAGATATAGAAGAAAAGCAGTGTTTGTTGGGAGGGATGGGGATTAGAAGGGGGTTAGGGATAGGGATAAAAACACCCACTTATCCTTTCAATTCTATAACTAGAGGGATGGTATAAGGGGAAGGGATAAGAAATGGGTTGGAAAAGTCCAAATTACCCTTAATGAAATTAAAAGGGTAAAGAGAAAGGGTAGAAGTTAGTAAGGCTATTTTTATAATTTTATTACTTATCCCTAATTTGCTTCCCATACATACCAAACATGGGATAAAAATTATTTATCCTTATTCCACCTATCAATCCCCTATGAGGGTGTTTGTTATCGACAAGTCCAACTAACTGTGGACTCAAGCACAATAGTTCGAATGTTGGCGGATCCGATTCCCCTCAACTCTCCTTTTTATCATTTGATCCGGAAGTGTAAGACTCTAATTTCTGAGCGTGATTGGGAAATCATGATAAGTCATTGCTACCGAGAGACTAATCGTGTAGCAAATTGGTTAGTCAACTTTGGAGTGACTTCGAGTCAAAAATTAGTCATTTTTGAGGCGGTCTTGGAGCTTCGTGCCGTTTTATTGGAGGACTTGGATGGCATCATGAGACCTAGGATGATACCGGATGCTTCTTAGTGCTAGTGACTAGTTTTTTTTTTTTTTTTTTTTAGTTTGTTTTGCTTGTTTTCTTTCTTTCTTTTTCTCTGTTGGTTTTCTTTTCTTTCTAGTTCTTAGCTTTGTACTTCCTTTTTTGAGGCTTGCCCCTCGTGATCACCAAAAAAAAAATGAGGGTGTTTGTTTAGGGGGATAAAAGAAGTGGGACAAGGATAAAAAATATGGATCAAAGAAATGTAGTGTTTGTTTAGAAAGATTGGGATTAGAAGGGGGTTAGGGATAGAGATAGGAATAGGAATAAAAACAACCACTTATCCCTCCATTTCTATAACTAAAGGGGGTGGTATAAGGGAAAGGGATAAGAAATGAGTTTTAAAAGACTAAATTACCCTTAATGAAATTGAAAGGGTAAGGAGAAAGGGTAAAAGTTAGTAGGGTATTTTTATAATTTTATTAGTTATTCCTAATTTGTTTCCCATACTTACCAAACATGGGATAAAAATTATTTATCCTTATTCCATTTATTTCTCTTATTTCTATCTCTCCAACTAAACGCCCCGTTAAGCATTAGATAAACTTGTTGTGTCGCTGGCAGTTAACTGAGGCACTTGATGCATGCATTTGCTCCAGCTGGCTTTGAAGAGATGGTCGCCTTATTCAAGTGGAACGAGATGTCAGATGTGTTAGCTTAACTTATGATTTCTTATGCACAATTTTGCACATACGTTATTACGAGTATATGAATATGAATATTTTGTGATTAGTATTAACCCTTTAGAAAATGCAAGTATATATCTAAATCTTACCTTAATTTTCAAGAAAAAAAAATGTAAGAATTAACCCTCATGTGTTGCTTGAATTGCTTCAATTTTCTATTGTGTTTAATGTTTATAATCTTTATTACTCATATTACAATAGATGCATGTTAATTAGCTTAATTAATTAAGTAAACTTGTATATACGGAGAATATATACTTCATATTATTAATGAGTGGTGGCGGGCTTGAAAGTATATAAATGATACATTTGATGGTCCAAAGTGACGGGTTGAAGTTGTGTAAATTACGTTCAACACCTTTTGTTGTTATATATGTAATCATAACCTGTGACGTGTACTACATGAGGACTTTTTCTATATGCCTAATACTTACGATATATAATATTAGGACTTGTTTGGTTGCTAATAAATTTATGGGACGTTTATTTTCCTAGAAAATAGATATATGTATATTTGTTTGGTTGACAATAATGTAGGAAATGAAACTTTTTTGGAACTTCTACTTCCCACAAAATGGGGGAATTAACTTACCTAGCCTCCCTAGGTAAATGAAACTTCCCATAAAAAGTAGAAATTCCCACATCCAACCAAACAATATTTGGCAATTCCTAATAATTATATTTCCATGGACATTGAGTTTTCATGGAAATTTTCACTTCCAACATCCAATCAAACAAGCCCTTATTCACTGATTCTTACGACTTTTTATTATCCTATTCACAAATTACAATAAGTTAATGAAGCTAATGACATATGTTTGACGTAGTTTATCGAGGGTGAAGATGCTCTTTTCTTTTCGATGATTCTAAAAGTGATCTAACCAGCTAATTAAAATTATGAACTTAATTATATCATAAATAATATAATTGACAGTAATATGCATGCACTACAATGCTATGTGAACCAAAAAAAAACAAAAAAAAACAAAAAAACAAAAAACAAAAAAAAAGACATTGTATATTTTATTATATAAGAGGTATGTACAACGCTTAAACTTTATTGCATTAGATAATTGACCATATAGTATTTATTTCTTAATGATGCATAAAAAAGTATGTAAAGTGTCATTGATTTAGTCTCAATATAAATTTTCAACAACTCAATCTACTTTTTAAGTATGGTTTATTACTTTCTATGTATGTTCAATACAGTTAATTGCAGTGGTGTAATCAGAAAAATTTCGAAGGGATAACCGGCCTAACTGATAATCTAAAAACTATACCTCGACAAGTCATAGATGCATATGTAACTAGGTATAAAAATATTCAACATAAACCATTAGAATAAAAAGGTCGGTAAAAATTTGAAGTATATATTAAACAAAATACTAATCACTTAACACGAGCTGAGCTCTCCTAGGGTTCAATGTTTCATAGAATAAAAGTCATCACGCATCAAAACAGTATTTCCAATATTAAATGTAGGTTGAATTGTACATGCATTTGCTGATTGTTCATCATGGGTAAAATTCTCGGGATTTATATCAACATTTGTTTCGATAGTCACGTTAGGGGATGGGTCTTCAATGTTTAATTAGGAAGGAGATCTTTCTTTCGAAAAATAAGAGTCAATTGTTTTTCTCTTCATATTTCAACCTAGAAAAAAAAATGTTATTTTGATCAATTACATACTAAAGTAATACATAGTATCATTGAGTTTTAATAGTTACTTATGATAAAATTATGCGATTATATTTTCTAATGGCTAATTAAATTAAATTGTACGAAGTAATACAATTATAATCTAAGTTAATTACTTAATTTTGATTATGTAACCCTAATACATGTATTTAAAAATAAAATAATGAAATTTCACCAACAAAAAAAATGTCGGAAAACCGAAAACGTACCTGAAGGCCGAGGGATCGAATGTATGTGTGTATATTAA